TTTTTTAAACCATTCTGTTGCAAATACTGGTAAGGTTATACTTAATATTTTGTTTTCCTTTAGTTTAAGGTGGTATCAGCATCCTACTGAAGAAGAACTACGTATTCTTGCAGGGAAACAAAGAGGCAAGAGCAAAAAAGATAGGTAAATATTTGTTTTAAACCTTTTTTTTTTTTTTTTGGGGGGGGGGGGGGGTTTTGTTTTGTTTTGTTTTTTTTTGTTCTTAATATGATCCATATAATAACTTTGGTGGCCAACTTTGGTCTTTTTGTGGGTTAAAACCTGTTACTTGCCTGTAACTGCCCTGCTTACATGAATTGCCACAGCTCTGTACCAGACTGTATTCTTTCAGTTTAACAGAGAGTTGAACGTGCCCAGATTCTGCAGAACTGAGTGACTTCCAGTCTGCAAGATTGGTCTGTGAAATCTCTAATTTGGCGGCAAGGAATTTTTTTAGTGAATATATTCATTTGTATGAAAACTGAGGAAAATAAATCTGCTATAGGATTGAAGCTGTTCATCTTGAAGCAAGAGAAGAAAGATTTGAGTATATTAGTTAAACATAGGATTACTGTGAGCCACCACTCTTACACAGCTTTGAAAAAGGTAAATATGCTGCTAGGATGTATTAGGTGAGGTATTTCTCATAGAAGAGATAGGGAAATATTAATTCTCTTGGACGAGGCACTGGTGTAGGACTTTTATCTGGATTGCCATGTACAGTTCTGATCACTCATGTTCAAGAAAAATGAATTTGTACCTGAGCAGGTGAACAGAGGGCTGCTAGGATCATCCAGGAAGCAGAACATGTCTTAGAAGAGGAAGTTAAAATAGCTTGGCTTGTTTAACCTAACAAAAGATGACTGAGAGGGTGGGATAGCTGTCAGTCAGCTTAAGGTGGAAGCAGATTTTTGATGTTCAGGCACGAAGTTCTGGAACAGCCTTACCAGAGGGACAACTGTGGCAATCTCGGGATGGTGGAGCTGCCTACGTGATGCAAGGTTTCTGAATTGGTTGTGTTTAAAACAAACCAACCAACCTCACTTTTATTTTACATGTGCATTGCAATATTATTCCAAATTCAGAAACTCATCTGTTTCCTGTAGCAAGTCAAGGCAAAATAATTGTGAATAGCGTTACAATTTATAACCGTCCATTTAAGCAGTGATATTTATTCGTATGTAAAATAATTTTAATTACAAAACTGTAACTTCAAGTCCACCCATAGAGGCCGTAACCAGAAAAACACAATCACATTCCAGATAATAATTGTACTGCTCTTACTGCCTTTCCTCAGCCTAGCCAGTCTTTTGCCATCCAAAACATGTGTGTTCACACTTTCACCAGAGCAATTGCATGCTCTCAGCTGAGTGGAAGCATGGAATATTAATGTGTACTGACATACAAGCTTAAATTTTTTAAGCTTTGAGAAATTTTACTGTGAAATTTAATAGGAACCTATATCACAAGTCACCTATATATACACATTAACTCCTTTTGTGGTTACTGAACTTCTACATTTAATGTTTTAAATGCAATGCTGTTTTTATGTTTGCCCAGGCAAATTTTACTGGTGTAGTTTCATTATTATAAGATAGATATAATCATCTCACTATATTAACATGTAACCAAGAGAGCACAGTTGTAATAGTTGGAGATAGTTGTTTGTACTAGGATAAATTCTAATCATAGGGGGATACGAAACTTCAAAGAAACCACTGTGGAGGCTTAAGTGATGCTTTCTTTGCTGTGCTGTTTTAAGAACAGAATGAATAAAGCACTTTTTAGTCAATAAGTATACCTCTGTCTCCTCTAAAAAAGTGGCTGTAGTTGTAGGAGAACCATAGTTTAAAGCAAGAATTGCTTCTATTCAGTTAGTTTGGAAGTACTATTTTAGGTTGCACAAAATGGAATGCAGCTCTCCTTTCAGCCAAGGAGGTGTGAAACACATGCTGTAGCAGAAATAAGGATGCATCTCATTGGTTTTTTTGTTTTTTTTTCCACCATGTCTTGTCAAGATACAGAATTTGCTTTGGCAAGCCCATAGTCTTGCAAAATGTAGTACCTTCTCCTGCTCCTTACTTAAATACTTTTCCTATTTGAACTAATTAAAAGAGAAATTATGAAAGCAGATCCAAGGAACTTGCTTGAAAATTAGCCTTATAAACAGCTGTAATATGAACTTGTAGTCCAGTTTATTCAATGCATATTACACTTCAGTATATTGTCCTGTAGGTTATAAAAACATGTGAATACTAGGCAGTCTTTCTATTTCTGAATTATTTGTGTTTTATTAGGTTGTTAGCCCAATGTAAAGGTCTATAGCTACTATGAATTGCTTTGAATTAAAGCCCTATATGATCCTGGGTGTGTTCAGACTGTGTTTCTTGGATTATGGGTCTGCTGGGATAATTGAAGTATAGGAACAGCAAATTCTATTGAGCTGAAGTGACTTCCATTATCAAAATGCTCATCTCACTCAAGATGATGGTACTCCTGGGTGAATGCAGTAGAAAAGCCTCAAGAGTGCAACTCGGGGCAGGGAAGCACACAGAAGCTTGTAGATATACTGCCAGGGCAGTGTTTGGGACTTCTTGTTCAGACTTGAGCACCTGAATTTTTTGAATGCTCCTAACCTCTGTTTTCAGTTTGTCCATTAAAATTCTTGTGCTTTGGATGATGCTAAGAATTAATAAAACCTGGGGGAAAAAAAATTGATGCTTTCTGCTTGTATCCTCATTTCACACATTAGTTGAGAGGACATCATTCCATATAAATAAATTCATGATTGATTGAATATCCTTTTAATGCTTATGTCCCAATAACTCATCTTCCCATGAAGAATCCACCTCTTCATTTTCAATTTCAGAGGTGCTCTTGGAATATATGGCAGAGCTTACTGTTTCCTTCTAGTCATTTAAGGGTTTTAAGGTTTGGATTTTTGGTTTGGTTTTTTTTTTTGGTTTTTTTTTTTTCAATCCTAACAAAACATTTTCTGATCTGCTTTAATGATATTTTGTTTTATTTGTAATAGTGGTGAGGTAAGTTTTACACTAGTTAGTAATGGTAATCTCTCAGCCCTATTTCATGTGACTTGGCCTTGTGGCTCTTTCAAGAGCATCCTGTTTTCTTCAATTTAAAGTCTAGTAGTGTGGCTTATTTTCAGGAAATTGAAGATTCTGACGGTAGTATTGTTTCAGATCTCCAGATGAAGATGTACCTTTTCTTTCCAAATATGTAATCTTTTATGGTCTTTACACATATCTCTGCTGTGAAAAATTATTCCTTAAAGATGTGTTAGCTCTAACCAGTAATTTGGAAGACATGGTGATTTTGTGTTTAAGACTTACTTTTGTTTATACATGTAAGTGTTTCAAAGATAATATTGAGTAGGACTGGAAAAGGGGAGCGATGATGGCTAGAGTAAAGGCTTCCCCATGAGGAGCAGAAGTGTTTACTCTGGGAACTGGCTGAGGGAGGGATTTGCAACAGGTATGTATCCAGTGTGCACAGAGGGTGGATGGGAAGTAGTGAACATGTTATTCAAGGAGGCACTGAGTAACATTAGAATAGTAGATTTAAGGAATTACCTGTGTGGGACACACTTTGTGGACTTTGGTGTCACAAGACGCTACAGAGCTCAACAAATCTCATCGTGATTCAGACTGAGATTAGGGAAATTCGCATCTGTTTTGAATGTCAGTTTCAGGTTTCAGAAGATGCAATCCCTGCCTCAGATTATCCTCAAATTGCTTACTGGTGGAAGCCAGAAAGGGTTTAGCAGTGTGAGGAGCAAACTTTGGTTGCCTCATTCCTTCCATTTGAAAAAGCAAATAGCCACCTGTATCATAGGCGCAAATGGATCTGTGTGTCATTGTTTATGAAGCACCAGTTTATCTCTGTTGTGCCCTACAGAAATGGCAAAAACTTGGAATACAGCTTCAAACCCTGGTGTGGTATCACAATGCACTTAGCATTGTCTGTTTCCCCAAAGAGAGCATGATGGATTATTTCTTTTCAAGATATATTGGATCTCTTTATGATTATAGTAACACTATAAGAAATATACATATATTTTAATTCATTTTCATAAGCACGGTATGAATTGAAACAAGTATGTGGTATTCCTACACACACCCTTTTCAATTAAAAAGCTATCTTAAAATCGTCTTTCTTGATGGTAGGTAGGATGGATCTCTGAAGCATCTAGGTTGGCCAGTTTGTGTAATGGACTTGCTAAGCACCCTGTTGTGACAAAAAGGACTGATGTTGTTTTTTGGAAATTTGGGTTTTATTTTTTCCTTATCACCTGTCTTCTGAGGTAGATTACTGTTTGTTGTTATTTCCAGTGAGCGTTCAATAAATTAATGTTGCCAAGTCAGTCTATCTTTCCCACTTACTTTCAATTCAAAGACTTTAACAGCATCTTTCAGCATCCTGGTCTAGACCTCAATTAAGCAGTCTCAGTTTAGCTTTGATTTTCCTTTGGGCTGTTTGTGGGGTACATATATTATGCTCTGTAGCTGTGCTTGTATCACAAATTTTTTGAGATGGTGAGAACTTACTAGAACACCCTGTAGCTTCCTGAACAGAGAAAACTCAATGGGCTGAAATAAATACTGGATCATGTCCTAATACATGCTCAGGATGCAGCATATAGAAGCCATTTAAACCCACACCACAGCAGTATGTCAGAGCCCTTCAAGGTAAAGCTAGGAGGCTTTTACATACGTGTTTGTTTCTCAAGACTTGAACTTGAATTAATGCTTTTAGCCTGATAGGTAGACATGTTTGCAATTATCAAAAAATCAGTCTGCACTTTTCTTAGATTTCAAATGTCTTTACATACTGAAAGTTTGTCATACCCATGTGTGTATTATCTGTTAATTTATTTACTTTTTCAGAAAATATAATGGTCATATTGAAAACAAACCCCTAACCATTCCAAAAGACATCGATCTTCATCTGGAAACAAAATCTGTGACTGAAAGGGACACTATTGGTAAGAATAAGTGGATGCAGACAGTAGTACGTTATTTCAAATATATCCTGATTCTTTCTATCAAGTGTGTGTTTGTGATGAATGCTGGAATATCTGTAGTTATAGATGATGAATGAATAAAAATACAACTGATAATAAAGTTTAATGAGAAGGCAAGAATTTGGGCTAAGTCTCCTTTCTTCCATGGGTAACATTTTAATAGCAGTTTTATGGAAAAGGATGGGGAGGTGAAATCCAGCGTAAAGCACATCTCTTGTATCAGGCAGCCATAGCAGTATGAGACAACACCGTGGTCTGTTTGAAATAGAGATCATAGCTTTTTACAAGATAATGAGAATCAGCAGATGTTGAAACATGTATTTTCTGCTCATCTAAAATAGGGAATGTGCTGTAGTATTGAAACCTAGACCTTTCAAGCAGACATCTGAAGCACTGAGGTAAAATGCTTAGAAATCATAAGTGACACATCCTAAGCATTGAACTAAAATGCTTAAAAATCTAATCTTATAGAAATAAGTAGCATTAAGTGTTTTGGAAGTTGCTATTTTTTATATGATAATTTTTATTTCCTTAGTCATAACCAGCCATTCTGCTACAGAAAACTCATATATGGATATGTATGTATGTGTGACGCATTTTCTTCCAATCTACGTTTTTATATGCATTTGTTCTATGCATAAATACAGAAAGAAAAGAAGCATAGTTCTATGCAGAAGATTTCTCAGCTTAAGTTATAATGTAGAAAATACCTTTAACAGAAATGCAGAGTTTTTTAAAGCTGACACATAACTAATGCATTCACAAGTTTCAGTTAATGTTATTTGCTTGAAATTACAGCATTTAACTCTCTCCCAGGGTAGTTACAGATACCAATAGAGTGTAAGGTATACAAACTTTTGTTGAATCTGACCAGGTAGGCATTTCAGAATAAGTATAGAACTTGGAAATACGTGAGTTTGGCCAATTTCATGAGTTTGACATTGGGTAGCTTGTTGTCGTCAGACAAGTGTTTCGTGACTTTCTAACTGTGTAGATGTAGGGA